TCTTTCACTATTTTATCTCTATCTATGGTATCTTTCACTATGTTATCTTTTACTATGTTATCTTTTACTATATTATCTTTCACTATGTTATCTTTCACTATGTTATATTTTACTATATTATCTTTCACTATGTTATCTTTCACAATGTTATCTTTACTATGTTATCTTTCACTATATTATATTTCCCTATGTAATTTTTTACTATGTTATCTTTTACTGTGTTATCTTTCACTATGTTATATTTTAATATGTTATCTTTCACTATCACTATGTTATCTTTCACTATTTTATATTTTACCATGTTATCATTTACTATGTTATCTTTTACTATGTTATCTTTTACTATGTTATCTTTCACTATGTTATCTTTTACTATGTTATCTTTACTTTGTTATCCTTCACTATGTTATCTTTAACTAAGTTATATTTTACTATGTTATCTTTGACTAAGCTATCTTTGACCATACTATCTTTGAAATTTTTGCTCATCGCGTGTTCCCTGTACTCTTTCTCCTCAGATCTTCAACTGACCTTAGCTCTGGTCTCGTTGTTTGTCTGCATCTGCTACAGATATTATGAAAGTTTGCCCGTGTAAAGTGGATATGGCCCACTTACATCAACCTCCGAATGAGCCGCCTTTGGACTTTACAGGACGAGCCTTTAAAATGAGACTTTATTTCCTATAATAAAATATATGATACTAGGGCTTTTAACTGGGTGCAATAGTCTTTTCACGGTCTCCGGGTAATTTGAAAAATAGGCCTACAGATATTCCTACACCCTACCTGCCGGCCTTTAATTAATAGGCCTATCAACAGTCCTACACCCTAACTTCCGGCCTTTAAACAATAGTCCTACAGGCATACAACACACCAGTGGCTCTTTATTGATTAATATAATAGTCTCCTCCCCTAAAGTATTTCTTTCGCGCCATGCATTTGAAGAATTTTTTTATTATTTTCTTCTTTTATGTGGTTTAAACTAGTCTTTGATTTAAAAAAAAAATCTTTAAATTATTTTTTTTTATTTGATTATCTTTAGTATGAAACGTTTAATGTATATCATCGACAAAAGAAGTATCACTTACTTTAAAAAGAAATCCCCCACATTCCCACAGCTCTCACATGAGCTCCCCTACTCCCTTTTTTTCCTGCCGTTCACTGAACGAAACAGAAGCGATATTGACACAACTCAGATGCGACCGTTCAAGGTAACCACCAAACAGACGACGAAACGATCTCATTCGCACAGTCGCAAAAATTTCGCTGGACAAGATGGGAATGCGAGCAGAAAATAAAATCTTTAAAATCATTAACTGGACTTTATTATAAAGGACTAAAAGGTCTAAAACCAACAAAAAATTTTATTCATGCACGACCAATTACGTCATTTTCAAATCACTCTCAGTTTATTTAAGAAATCTTCGTAATAACATATTTTTAATGCAATATCTGCAATTCTAATGCAAGGGAAACCGCTTAATTTCACCTGATTCAACATGGTGTGATATGCAAAATATCAAACAGCGAATCGGACGATTGGTATTGACCTACATATTTTAATTCATTTTTTAAATAAATTAAAAAAAACAAAAAACAACACAATTACGGTGTTATAGTATATGTCGGATGTTGGGGTGGGATAAACCAATGTAGCCACATAGAGACCTCGGCCCATACGCAGACAGTGCACCATAGAGACCTCGGCCCATACGCAGACAGTGCACCATAGAGACCCCGGCCGAATCCATCGGTCTTTCTTCTTCTGGCTCTAGAATCTTGACATGCACATTCGGTATTCTCGACGAACGATTTAGAAAATTGTTTTAAAAAAAGGTTAGAATATTAATAATGTTTAATTTATATGCGAGATAAAACTTACGGGAATATTGGGGGTGTAGTCAAATTAGATGTGTGGATCAAATAATTTTTTTTTTTTTTAAAGGGAAACAAACAATAAATACAATTGAAAAAATAAAACGAACACGACTTATTTCTCTTGTTACTATAAGTGCCCTTTCCATTGACACGATGTGAACACTTTATGTTTACTAGCTGTGCATCTTTATTGAACACAGCATAGCAGACTCGCGGACATCTTCACCGACAATACTTCATAATGTTCATTGGGGTTGCTCTTGCCGGTAAAAATTGTCACTGACTGAACTCGTTTATCATGTGGTGTAGTTTTAACGGTGTGTGGCGGCGCTGGCAGGGTGTGGCTGTGTGTGGCTTTTTTTATTCAAAAAATTTAAAATAAGTCGAGGCCAGTGATCCTCAAAAAAAAGGAGGGGGGGGGGTGAACGAAAACCGTTAAAAGTTTGAAAACCACACGTCTTGACTCACCAGTGAATTATACTACAGTGGGTCTCATTAGCGGGGGATACCATCTTCGTTTTGCTGCTTCTCCTTTTTGACATAAAAAGGAGCATCAGAAGAAGGCAGCATATCCCTATTCAGCCAGTAGACTCTGGCCTGTTGGGTTAGACTCCCCCCCCCGTCAACCCCCCCCCCCCACTTCCAAACCACCCGTTGCAAAAGTTGCTAACCTTTTCCAGTTTCTAAATGAATAATTTATATGTGAATTATACTACAGTGGGTCTCATTAGGGGGGGATACCAGCTTCGTTTTGCTGCTTCTCCTTTTTGACATAAAAAGGAGCATCAGAAGAAGGCAGCATATCCCTATTCCGCCAGTAGACTCTGGCCTGTTGGGTTAGACTCCCCCCCCCGTCAACCCCCCCCCCCCACTTCCAAACCACCCGTTGCAAAAGTTGCTAACCTTTTCCAGTTTCTAAATGAATAATTTATAGGCGGCTGCGTCCAGGCCAAGTGACGTAAAGAAATAGTGTCCTAAATAAATAAATATTCTACAACATTACTTTAGATGAACCCAAATAACGAAAATAAGTTATGTAGTTATGTAAGGGGCCAACCCCCCAGACGGTTGTGCGCAGGGTTAACAACCCGGCCACGTAAAGAAATCAACGTTACGAAAGCCAAGCAACACATTTAATACGGTAGTAAGAAATTGCGCAGAGATTAAGCTCTCGCACAAAAAGATTAAGATTTGATTCTGGCTCGGGGGTGACAAATGGTTTTATTTTAACAGAATCTGCCTCTGATCTCCCCGACACATCTCACACAGTAAAGGAATAAAATGAAACTGAAAGCAAGGGGCAATGCATTTCATTGTGGTCCCAGTTAAGTCGCCCACCCCTTTACTTTAATGAATATAATGTATTCATAGATTGACAGAACGGTACATAAAAAATTGAGATGCTTTTTAAATTCGCATCACCTGTAATTATTTCAACACTGTTGCACGTTACAAAAAAAAAATAATTAAAAAAAAATTAAGCATCAATATTTTGAACGTTTGGTCATTCAAACACTTCAATCATTTGATCGTCTGCCACAGAAATATTCCGTTTCGTATTTTTAATATAATCTCGGTATTTCATTTTTTTTTTCCGCGTAAAAATTTCCATTCCTGGATTTTTAAAGAAAGCGTGTAATAGTAATTACTTTTTAAAAATGACGTCAACACTCATGTAGAAAATAGTAGAGCAGGATGTGGGACATCCTAAAAGAAGAGCAACACTACCTGGGGCAAACGTTGACACATCCTGTTCTACTTGACCGTGACACGGCTTGAACGCAGCCGCTAAAATATCTTATATACCCGTGTGTATATGTATGTATATCTCAACCTGTGGATTTGTAAGGGCTTGTAAGGTGCCGACGTATAATTGACTTTCAGGGCTACACGTCAACTTTTCAGGTCTCCGCGGACATTCCAAGAAACTCTTAAAACTATTAACGTGTGAGACATTGGGTAGGCCTAATGCCCACCCCCACCTTTTTGAGGGGGGGGGGGCTGGGGAGAGAAATTTATTTCTAAAAAGGGTCCCGTGAGTCAAAAAGTTTGGGAACCATTTTTCTAAACTAGACCATCACCCTGCGAGACGTCTACCCCCTCTCCCAAACCCCAACCACCCCCCCCCCATACAATTTTGAAAAAGTTATTTTAAAAATCCCTCCTGTCAACCCCGCCCTGCAAACGTGTTTTTGAAAATTGTTTAACACCATTTCCTTGAGGATCTTAGGTATTATATCGTGTCAGACCGCTTGGCACGCGTTCTTTGTGTTTGTGTGTTCGCGTGTATGTAAAATATGTGTGTACGTGTGTGGTTACATGTGGACATGACGTGTTTATACATGTATGGCCATGTGTGTGTGTGCGTACATGAATATGTGTAGACGTGTGTGCGGGTTTTGCGTATGTATATCATTGCGCTTACACATGTACGGTTGTGTGTGCTGGTGTACATGAATGGGCGAATACGCGTGTGGTCGCGGGTGTGTGTGTGTGTGTGTGCATATCAATGCATGTATGCAAGTGTGCCTGCGTGTGTGCGCGCGCGCACATGAAAGTATGGTCATACCTGTGGTTAAGTGTGTGTTTGTGTGTGTGGCTGCGTGTGTGTGTGTTGGTGCACAAGAAAGTGCGGTAATACCTGTGGTTGCGTGTTGTGGCTTCCTTTGTATTGTTATTATTCTGACGATGGGAATGAAACGAATAACGCAGTTGTCTACTCAAATTCTACTGAAACGAACCAAGAAAAACAGAGGTGAATCTATTACATTGAGTTTAAAGACAGTCCATCTGATTCATTAATTTAAATGCACAATTTTAATCTTTTCTGGGACTTAGATTTATCTAAAATATTTTGGATCTCTATTTTATAGTACTAGTCATTTTCAAAATTCTTCGAAACACGTGCGATTCTAGAAACCCTTTACGACAGTTTTTTTATATTTTTTTTTTACATTTTTAAAATCTTGTTTGTTATATAAGACATCAATGATATTTGAACAGGAGCAACGCGTGCCCACATACGGGGAACGCACTTTTCAAAACGAAACTGTTGACGCAGAAAAACGGACAGAAACTGAAACAAACATTCTGGGGACAAGCCTCGCCCCGTCCCGCCCACGCCCGTGTGTCAGGTATAAAAAAGTCAATGTTTGGAGAGTCTCGGCAAGAGAGTTGGTGCAGACGAGAGTTGTTTTTTGGGGTGGTTTTTTTTAGAATGGCCGGAGTCAAAAGTTGGAGTCTGATGGCATTGTTTGTGTTCTCACTGGCCGTTGGAGGTGACGTATGTAAGTTCAAATGTATAACAGTAGTTAGGTTTTTTTTGTTTTTTTTTTTGCTTTTTTTAAAAACCAAATAATGAGAGTCTGTCAGTTGAGTTCCAGAGGCGTAGCGTGGTGGGGCCAGGGGGGGACAGATTCCCCGGGCGCCAGCTAGTTAGGGGTGCCAAAATGTGCTTTGATATTATTTTATTGATGAAAATAATGGGTTTGAGAGTTGAAAAAAAGAAAAAGGGGCGCTAAAAATGGATCTTGTCTCCGGGCGCGAATCTTGTCCCCGGGCGCCAAAAACCCTCGCTACGCCACTGTTGAGTTCATTGTATTAAAACAAACAAAAAAGTTTTAGTTTAAACCAGAGTGTTGATGATTATTTTTTTTCGTTTTGCTTCTGTATCAGATGGATCCCTTGTGCTCGAGGTGTCCCCGAGGAGTGTGGAAGTCGGCCGAACCCGTTGGTTACAAGTTAACTGCAGCTACGCACCGGAAATGGGTCAGGGAATGGACACGTTGGTATCCCTCGTTGTGTCCGGCTTACGGGACCCCGTGACCGGGGTGGGCAACTCGATCGGCTCAGTTATGGCATCAGACGCTCATAACCCCCAAGACATCGCGTCCATGAGCGTGTTCTCTAGCCAAGAAGTCACGGCGCTGTCTAATCTGACTGTGAAAACTTCGGGCTACATCGCGCCGAGGGGAGCGTCTTATCTCGGTTTCGTGATGGACAATCCCAACTTCGGCGCCCCGGACACGTATAAATGTACCGCCCACGGGATCAGACAAACCGGCCAGCCGATGGTGATGTCAGAAAACGTCAAAGTCCAATTCGCCAATTCAAGCCTAAACGAAGAATCGCTGCGACAGCTAGAAAATATCGAGTCTGTCGTTGAGGAAGCCAAGGGGAAAATTCTGGCAATCGGTAGGAGGCAGTCGGAGCAGTACAGAAACTTAACTGACGACATCACGGCTTTGTCGTCAACGCAGATCCGTCAGGATTTAAAAATCGGGGCTCTCAGGGCGGAAATCGAGGCGTATGAAAACATGAGCAACCATTTGATATCCATTGTATCGGGTTTGAAAAAACTCAGAGTCGAGGACGACTCTAAAGTTCAAAGTGAACTCGCAACATTGGAAGACCAAAATAAAAACGCCAGCTCTCTAATCGCCGCCCTTGGGGCTAAAGTGCAACAGTATCAAAACACGAGCGTGGAAATGAACTCACTGTTGTCCTCCCTGGACAGTCTTAAAGTAACCGTTGGTGAAGTTTTAAAGAAGAAAAACGACACGTCGGTGTGTCAACACGACCCAAACAATACCACAATTCATGATGTGACCCCGACCCCGAGAACTCTAACCTTTATTGAAAGGACGGAGGAGTTCAGACGACTCAAGGATGCCATCCTGAGAGATCTGTACATCGTGTCGCCGACATTCGGTGCCTTCGGTGCCTCGTTCTATGTGGTCCCCAAAGCCCCGAGACCTCTGCCATACAGTTGGATAGAGGGTAAGTGTAAGCGGGTCGGTGGGTACCTCGTCGAGATAAATGACCGGAACGAATACAATTTCGTTGTCAATTTTATCAAAGATCTGCCGCAAGCTCAAATTCAAACATATTTCACCGGAATGCAATATGCGTCGTTGGAGAAACCGGGACCCGTAAGCAAGGGCTGGATCTACGCTAGAACTAAGAAGCCAGTGTCTTTTACAGAATGGGGTGAAGGAGAACCGAACAACTTGGGCTGGGAAACCTGTTTGACACTTGAGAAGTCCAAAGGCTGGAAAATGAATGATGTTACGTGCTCTTACAAAAACGACATGAGTTTTGTGTGTGAGATTTCAAATGCTGATTTCTATTCCTTCCCATAATTCACCTCGGTTACCGAATGCTCACTTTGGATAAGTGGCTCAATAGCTTCGTTACGCCCAGGCGTACTTATTAAACAAATCAATGATCAGTAATCTATACGACATATGGTTCTTTATTGGAAAAAATTATTGGAGCGTGCCGTCTTTGATCCGCTTTTCTTTCTGCGGCTCCATGACAATTACTCAACCGAAAATAAAAAAAAAATTTTGCGATAATTTCTAACTGCTATTGCAAAAATTCATCCCAGTTCATAACTTTTAAAATGTAATGATATTTACGTTTCTAACATCATTAAGTTTTGAGAAGTGTTTATCTGCTATAAATGTTACGCGCACCCTACACGCACTTTCACGCTCCTAAACTATTTTTACCCTCTTAACATGACCTTAAATTACCCATTCTAAATTATCACTTATTTATATCCCTTTTGTGACTGAAGAAGTCAATTGGGGGACAATTAATTACGCTAGAGAAATACTTTAGATGTACCCCCTTTCGTGTCCTTGAATTACAACTTTTTTTCTCTCAAAATGGTTAAAAAATCTAATCTTAAATTTACAACAAAAACTCTATATATGATATAAATATATTTTGTATTACAGGAATTCGATATATATTGATATCTTCATAAAAAATGTAAACACATTTTTGCCTTTTAAAAAAAATTATACTACTTCAGAAAATCGTAAAACCGAGAATGCTTTTATCTAACAAGAATCTCGCTACTGTTTTTCCACGCCTATATCAGAGTTGACTGTCTTTTTTAAAAATATTTAATGGTTAATCTCATAAAATACACACCTCTTTAATTTTTGCAAAGTAACAACAAAATATATTTTCATTAAAAAAAAAAAAGAAAATATTAACCCATCTTCATTTGTCAAAATTTAATTTTCAAGTGAGTAAAATGATTGGGTTTTGATATTCATAGATATACTTATATAAATGTACCCAAGATCTGTTAACGCCATTGATTTTCTTAATTGATAAACATATGTTGATTTGTAAAAACATAATTTAACACTATCTTTTTTTCACAAATGTAATACATAGGATTTAAATATATTGTCATCCACGTAAAAATGTAGACATCCTTTTTCCTATGTCCTATATGTATGTACCCAAGAAGGTTAATTATTAATCAAATTAATTCCTTTATTTTGGGACGTATCTTGTATTGCCTTGGGCTAAATGAACATACCCATATTTTTTTTAAAAGAGAATGTAACATCTTATTATTTCACAAATGTAATACCATAGGAGTCAACTCTGTTGTCCTCCCCGTAAGAATGTACACATCTTATTTCCTATCTCCGATATGTATTTACCCTAGAAATTAATTATTTATCAAATTCATTCCTTTATTTTTAGACGTATCTTGTGCTGCCTTTGGGCAAAATGAACATACACATATGTGTGAAAAGAGTATGCAACATCTCTTTTTCACAAATGAAATGCCATAGGATTTAAATATATTGTCATCCACGTAAAAATGTATAAATCCTATTTGCTATCTCCGAATTGTATGTACCCCAAGAAGGTTAATTATTTATCAAATTCATTCCTTTATTTTAAGACTATCTTGTGCTGCCCTGGGGCAAAGTGGCCAACCCCCCCCCCACCCAGATTTAAATAAATTTAGAAAATCTTCCACCGGATTGTAGTCCCTTCCATACCTAAACTAACATATTTTGCACTTCATATGGTTCGTTCTTATTTTTATGAGTTATAAGTGGATTAGTGAATGCTATTTGGCTATGGAGTTGCGCTGCACTGATTGACTTAAACCGCATTTTTTTATTAGAATTATATTTAAAGGTCAGTTTTGATTACTTTATAAATTTAATAAAAGTATGTTTTTAAAATAAAAAAAGTCTAATCTTTTTAAATGTAAAAATATATAAAGCAAAAAATGTGTGTGTGTTTTACTAAAAATCTAAAAAGCTATCAATTGCATTTGTTAATTTTAAGAAGGGAAAATACGTTATCAGTTTTGTCCCGCACGTTTATGAAAGTTTAAGAAACCTAAGAGGTTTAGCGAAATAGGCTATTTGGGCTATAACGTCATTTGCGTTATTATTTAGAACAAATTAATTTCAATTTTATTTCGCAATAGTAACAACGCATTAAAAGACGCACTAAAAACGACTGATGCTTGGGTTTTCCCGATAAATGGGATTTTCTTATTTTTTTATTTGTTCACAACTTTCAAACACATAAAATGCTTAAAATAGTTACTTAGTTGATACTTTAAATGTATTTGTAATTTATAATAATATAACTTTAACTTTTAATAAAATAGAAGGGGATTTCAAATATTTTTTGCGCATTTAAATTTATGGGACATCGGCACACCCATGACATGGGACATCGGCACACCCATGACATTGGACATCGGCACACCCATGAAATTGGACATCGGCACACCCATCACATTGGACATCGGCACACCCATCACATTGGACATCGGCAAACCCATGAAATTGGACATCGGCACACCCATCACATTGGACATCGGCACACCCATGACATTGGATAATACGAGACTATCTGATTTAATTTCTTGTCTAAATTATTACTCAGTCTAAACATTGGGTCTGCGAACGGGTTTTTTTGTTTTTTTTTTTTTTGGGGGNGGCGCTGTAAGATGCTGCGGTCCTGGTTCTGGCTGGGACGAACCACAGGCAGAAGAAAGCTGCACCAAAACCTGCAGAAAGATCAGGGGAAAAAAATGAAGATTGCTTTTAATAACATGCTATGAACCGGAATACAATGCGACAATATCTCTTTATTTTCTGTGTGGTTCTAGGTGTCAGAATAAAGTGATAACATGCCCAAAAAAAAAAAAAAAAATGAAAAAAAAAAAAAAAAAGGAAAAAATTTCGGAGTGTTATTAATATATTTATTAGCATTTTTTATATTGTATTTTCAATACGGTAGATTAAATCAATCATTTTGAATCTCCCTTTCAAATGGATGGGGGTAGAGACGAAGAAAGAATTATATTTTGGGTAAATACTAGATATATATTTTTTAAAAAAGTCCCGCCACCTGGTCTAATCATTAAGCTACACTCAATCGCTTCTAAGCGTGACATTCTAAGAGACTGGTACCTATTAAATCCTTTGCATCTTTTAAATTTTGACGCATTAAGTGAGCGCATTAACAAAACAAAACTTCAAACATTAAAACTTAAAGAGAAAAATAAAAGGGGGTTGAAAAATATTTTTTAATGAAAAAATATTAGTTTAAAAATTTATCTTAAGGGAAGCTATTCTAAAAAAAAATTATTAAAATAAAATTAACATGAATTTTCTCCCTTGAATCGTTGAACTGCACATTTTAAGCTTAAGTTTGACAGCAACTATCTAGGACAGGAATCCAGAACCGAACCACCAGGGGTCCCTAACCCGGCATGCCTGGCCTCCTTATTTGCACGCGGGCAGCAGGGATGAAACGTATCATGAAATTTGATCGAAGGGAAATTTGGTCGAATCTTTTTTTTTTTTTTTTTTTTTTTTTTTTTTTTTTTTTTTTTTTTTAGGTATACCTAACAAAACAAAAAAAAACGCGGTGTTAGGTATACCTCGCAGAAATGAAACTTGACACTTTAAAAAATAAGGAACAAACATATTTTTCTAGGTCATGGCTCCGGAGTCACATGGGGTGCCATGAAGGGATATCTTTTTTTTACGTCATCTATGATGACTTGCTGATCCCGAAAAATAGTTTCTTAAAAGGTACAATTAACAGTTATAACTAAAACGTATAATAATTAAAAGGTATACATAAAAGGTATAATTAAAATGTACAATTAAAAGGTGTAATGAAAAGGTATAATTAAAAGGTATAATTAAAAGGAATAATTAAAAGGTATAATCGACAGTTATCATTCAAAAGTATAATTCAAAGGTTATTAAAATGTCTCCGCACTCAAAAAAAAGGTTGCCGACCCCTGGACAAGATCTTCAATCGCCCACACGGGACTCACTTGAGGATTAGAGTTTGAGGACCGTTGCTTTAATTTTTAAATACTGTAAATCTATCTATTGAATTGTTTATATTTTTTTAAACTACACAAACTTAAATAACGGAAATTATTTATGTAGGAACTAGAATTTATTTGATATGGTGATAGCTCATGGCAGCAGAAACTTTATATTGCCCTAGGTCAGCGTTTCTCAGCATGTGGGTCGCGATCCGTTGGGGGGGGGGGGGTCGAATGACCATTACACATGGGTCGCCTAAGACCATCCGGAAACACACAATTTTGAAGTAGCAACGAAAATAATTTTATGGCTGGGGGGCAGCACAACATGAGGAACCGTTGGGGGGGGGGGGGTCGAATGACCATTACACATGGGTCGCCTAAGACCATCCGGAAACACACAATTTTGAAGTAGCAACGAAAATAATTTTATGGCTGGGGGTCAGCACAACATGAGGAACTGTATTGTAGGGTCGCGGGCCCCAGGCTAGGCATTAGGAAGGTTGAGAACCGCTGCCATAGGTAACAGTCAATAAAAGCCCTTTCATTCAGACCGTTAGGCGGCGACAAAAGGTTGGTTAGCTTAAACCCAGAAAAAACGTGTGAATAGAAATCTCAGTTAATCAAATACCATTCCACAGTGTACCAGACAGACCTTCACACCTGAAGGCGGTTGAATACCATGCCACAGTGTACCAGACAGATCTTCACACCTGAAGGTGGTTGAATACCATGCCACAGTGTACCAGACAGACCTTCACACCTGAAGGCGGTTGAATACTATGTTGGTACTTACAACACATAGTGACGCAATAGTTGTTAAGGTCTTTAACAGCTGCGTTGGTGTGCAATGTTAACACACACCGATATGAAATGTGCATCTCGAACCATGGAATGAATCGTATTAATAGTCTGAGCAATTTTAAGGATTTTTCTTTAGATTTAAATCCCAGATTCAGCAACTAATGAGTTTATTTATAATTTAGGCAAGTGGTAAGGTGGGGGGGGGAGGGGGGAAGGGGTCATTTAAACATGATATTGAGCGGAAGTCATGATTTAAGAAATGGTACTGAAGCGGTTTTCAAACTGAACATTTCTTTAGCTTTCATGCTCGCTGGAATATGTTGAGAAGCTCGCTGTTGCATTCCCAACATTGCCCTTTTTTTTTTCGGGGCGGGGGGGGGGGGGAGGGGGGGGCGCGGAAGGTGAGGTCACTGCGGTGATCAAACTTTGCTCAATTCAAATAAACAGCTTCAAAAACAATATATGAATTAAGTTTCTTTTTGGGGGGGGGGGGAGAGGAGGGGGGTGCGCGGAAGGTGAGTTCACTGCGGTGATCAAACTTTGCTCAATTCAAATAAACAGCTTCAAAAACAATATATGAATTAAGTTTCTTTTAAGAGACATCAACGCAGCCATGGCAAAACTGCTGTTAGCTTACCGATCTCGTCAATCGCATCTAGGGTGTTGGGTGGCCGAGTGGTCTAAACTGACTCAATCCAAATAGTTGGTGGTCTGGAGCTCAATCCCCGCCAAAGCAAACATCCCAAGCACCCCGGGTGGATGGGATTCGGCACCCCGGGTGGATGGGATTCTGCACCCCGGGTGGATGGGATTCGGCACCCCGGGTGGATGGGATTCGGCACCCCGGGTGGATGGGATTCGGCACCCCGGGTGGATGGGATTCGGCAACCCGGGTGGATGGGTGCGGCCACACCGGCTCCAAAGTTTATCTCGGCAACCCGGGTGGATGGGATTCGGCACCCCGGGTGGATGGGATTCGGCACCCCGGGTGGATGGGATTCGGCACCCCGGGTAGATGGGACACGCTAGCCTTGGACGGCAACCCATCTAAGAGAAGGCGAACTCTGAATTCAGAGCAGGAGCAAAAATGATAAATAAAGTATGAAAACTATTTTTTGTTTAAATATCGAGACTACTTACCCTACTTCGGAAAGCCAAGGTAAACACTTGTTTGAATTAATCACCTCATTAAAAGCCAAGGTAACCCCTTGTTTGAATTAATCACCTCATTACCCTACTTTGTAAAAGCCAAGGTAGCCCTTTGTTTGAATTAATCACCTCATTACCATACTTCGTAAAAGCCAAGGGGGCCCTTTGTTTGAATTAATCACCTCATTACTAAAATAATGTAACCAAATGTTCCATTAGTATTTTTAAAGGAACATTCTGTTATGTGTTACGATTTGACACTTCATTGCACACAGTTATCTCCTTTTGAGGGTCATGACAATTACTGCTCTGTTAATCTCTTATAATAGTGAAAGGGGGTGGATGGGGTGGTGCTAAGGGTGAGTTCATGCCACCCCCCACCTCACAAAGAGGCGTCGGCTGGAACATGTTTGTGAACAGCTGGTGCATGATCTTGCAAGCAAAAAAACAAATAAAATCAGTGTGTGTGTGTGTATCTACTGCAGCTGTAATTCTGTCTAAGGGAAAGTCATTTCAGGTTTTGTCGGGTGGTTGGGTTGGGGGGGGGGGGAGCAAACTTACAGGAGGCCGGCCAATTTGGGGGGGGGTGGGGGGAGAGCGAGTGTAGCTGTGTCGATAGATGTTTGTTGCGGCTGTCGGAGTGAAATAGTTATTGCCTGGAAATGTGTGCAGAACTGTAATTGTGGGCAGTTCTTGTTTTCTTCGAGAAACAACGACCACGACCCACTCAGACATCGGTTGTCTAATGCGCACCGCAAGTGTTAATAATATCGATATATTTTTAACCCTATGCTACTATAACTATTAGTGGTATCGAAGCTGCCCGCCCCATTCATACCCACAAGCACGACCAGCAATGACTGTGCCACGGGGGTGATGTGTAAAAAAAAAAAATATTTAAAAAAATTAAAATTATTTTTAAAAA